AAATCCTGGTGATACCAACGATTGCCGCAGAAATCTAGAGAGGAATACGTCATCGCCTATAGCAACGTCATCACAGTATCCCCCCCTATTCCAAACTAGGTTTCTGCTTTCTTCTGCTGGCGCCTTCTTTCCAACTTCATATAATAGTAATCGCCGTGTGTGAGAGTGTCGTCCCAGTCTGAACGTTCCTTATTGTAGTGGTAAACAGAGAGAACTACTTTTCGCCAGTACTTTCCTAGGTATTTGGCTGCAGTTGTCGAGCCTTCGAACCCATTCTGCTCGATCAACTCTCCTAGGAAGTATGCTTCGTCAACGTCAAACTTCATTCGCAAACTTCTTTTTCTGCGTTCGAAATCCTTTTTCATCTCCTTTTTCCGCTTCCTCTTCAACTTTGTCACTGACATTGCTTCGCCTTCTTTTTTACGTTCACCGATCATCACTTCCATTACTTCTTCTGTTGCGTCGGCTTCCTCTACTCCATTCGGTTCCTCAATAGTCATAGTCGTTTGGGCTGTTGTAGTCAGGTGAGCTTGGCCGTTCCTCAGAACTGTACTCGGACTCTGGGTAGCAGTCCTCGGCCCATCGCATTGGCCTGCCTGGTCTTCCTGCATGGGCGACTCTATCACTGCATCGCCAGCGCCTTCTTCTACCATCGTTCTGATCAACTCTATTATTTCTTCTGCTGTAGGGATGTAAAGCTCGGATCCCTCGGGTAATATCTCTGACATCTTCGTCGTTGTTTCGGTTGCTGCTTCTTCCTCGAACGACACTCTCTCGAAGCTCCCTCAGGGATACTCTGAGTAAGTGGTCGTTGGTTGGTATTGCTCTTCGATAGCTGATGTTCCTTTGTACACTGGTAAAGAACTCAAGTCCCATAATCCATCTACTAAACTCACAGGCGGCATCTCACTTCCAGGAGGGAAGTAATACGCTATCGAAGTCTCTTCTCCAGACAGATTGTAATTCGACAAAGCTCCATCTGGCTGCCACTCCACTGGTTCTTCTATTGTACAGGGTATATACCCCGTACTCGTCACATGCTCCATGTCTGAAATCGTTATTGTTGAGGAAGGGGAGGAAGGTGATAAGCTCGTGTCGAGGTACGTCGGGGTTGAGCCTATAGTATTGGAACAGAGCGAAGATGGATCGCTCCACCCACTGGTCGAAGTGCTCCTCCTTCCAATCATCCACTTGTTGTTGGTACATAACGACTTCCATTCTTCTATCATCTCGTCGCTCAATTGTATAGTAGTAGTCGTTGTATTTTGGCGTGTGTTTGAACTCAGCAGTAGAGAATAGGCAGAAGATCTCTGCCAGATCTCGCTCGTATCTACAGTCGATGAATAGTCCATCGTGATTAAACTGCACTCGCTCGTCACTGGCCCAGGCGGAAGGGTTAAGCTCATTAAACAATTGCTGCTCAGTGATAAACAGCTCGATGTTGTCTTGGTCATGTTGAGGAATCTCTGCGTCATAGTTCAGCATCTCAGTTGTCAATGGAGTAGATATTTGTTGTTGCTGCTACGTTCGTCGTGGTATCTGTGGTTGTTGTTGTTGCTTTAAGAATAGGTTTCGTTCAAGGCGTGTATTTGTTATTCAGTATGTATCTTTAGTGCTTGTTCTCACTTTAGATCTGCTTGAAGCATAGGCAATTGGAGGCGGGTCGTACCCCACTTATATAGCTTCTGGCATCCCTTTGGCTACACAAGTGTGCAACAACTGTTACTAATGCTGTGGAATACTCAACACAAATTTTCACAGGCCCTCATCCATCATCATACTCGACTATTCCAGATAGTGTTGAATAAATGACTCTGTACCAAGTGATGGTACTCCAATAAATCCCAAGATCTGTGAATTGTCTTATCTTGTCTTCCAAATACATCGCCTCTTGTTATTAGTCACCGAACATTTTGATTGACTTGCAATCTCCTATGATCAAATGTCTGTGTAACGTCGAACCATTCCGTTCAAACGACAATAACATGCACATGCGATTAGCAACTAGCTTTTCACCTCATAAAGAAAAACTTACTGCCGGCTCTGGACTATACGCAGGAGCTTTAAATATCTTCGTAAGTGTTTTCTGTCTCAAGCAGTAACAGCTCTTGCAAAGCGTCTTTTGAGAGCGGTTTTCCAGATTCTTTTACAGTTTTTGGAGATAAGCAAGAGAGAACTAAACTCTGAATAGTTCCGACTTTAAACAACCTTTTTAATTATTACCACTTTGTTTATTACAGCAACCATTTTCGAGAAAAGAGGGAAGGAAGATTTCGTAAGTAGTACATATATATACTAATACATATATAGGTAAAGCGAGAGCGTAATGCGAATCTGAGACTATATTCTGTTAGCGGGCCACTAAAGACACTCTTATATGTTTTGAATACAGTTTGCTACTACCGAGAGTTTATACATGTACCAACTGTCTTGGCTGTCAGTAATATATAACGGCTATATTACCATGTAAGCTTCTCATTGCAGTACCTTGCGAGAACAAGTTGCATTATAGTCATGAAGAGTCATGAAGAAATGCGTGTCTGACTAACCTTTTTCATTTATTACCTTCATATTATGATAGTGTATTGAGAAATTGGGATGTAATGGTATATATGGCATATAATGCGTATTATAACGACCCGCTCGATTCTTCGAACACGTAAAATCAATTTTCGTCGCAATCGTTAATAACCCAACAACCAAGGATCCAATACTCATGAAATTCACGTACATGTTGATAGTATCCATTGACAATGTGTGTGCAAAAACTTGACACAGAATATTAAGCACGATTTGAATATGCATGGAACGGCTGGCTTGATCCTTCGAACGCGCGAAATCAATTTTCGTCGTCAATCGCGAATAACCCAACAACCAAGGATCCAATGCTCATGAAATTTACATACTTGTTAACGGTAACTGTTACCAACGTGTGTGCAAAAAATTGACACAGAATATTAGGTACGATTTTGAATATGCACGAACGGCTGGCTTGATCCTTCGAACGCGCGAAATCAATTTTCGTCGTCAATCGCGAATAACTCAACAACCAAGAATCCAATGCTTATGAAATTCACATACTTGTTAACGGTAACTGTTACCAACATTTGTGCAGAAAATTGACACAGAAATTAGGTACGATTTGAATATGCACGAACGGCTGGCTTGATCCTTCGAACCCGCGAAATCAATTTTCGTCGTTAATCATTAATAACATAGCAACCAAGAATCCAATGCTCATATAATTTACATGTTTACTATTGACAATGTATGTGCAAAAAATTGATACGGAATATTAAGTACGATTTGAACGGTTGGCTTGACCTTCGAACGCGTGAAATCAATTTTCGTCGCTAATAACATAACAACAAAAAATCCAATGTTCACATATGTACATTCCACTATTTAATAATGATAAGGCGATCGAATAACAATAGTAATTAACGGAAGACTACACATATTATAGACTCAGATTTACAGGTGATAACCGGTTAGATCGTAGTAATTATTAGTTACAATGTCAGATCAGTAACGGTCCTAAAAGCTGAGAATTTCCGTGATACGAGCTCAGATAGAAGCTTCTTTTCTTCTA